CATGTTGTAAATCATATGCGGATTTAATATTGTCAGAAAATAATAGGGGCAATCACCTTAGGTTGGCATGACCTTCCTCCCCTTTTTCTGCCCTTAGTTGTATGTAATAGTCGGGGGTTTAAAACATTGTTCATGTTGATCTTTCAGTTGCATTCAATCTTGCTAATGAAATGCTGCCATGTTGTATAGCTGGAGGTAATATTGGGGGCTAGGCTAGGTGATATAAAACAAAATAATAAAGAAACAATAAGGGTCGGTAAATATTCAACCCCCCCCCCCCTCGCCCCCAGATAATAGGCTCTCTAAATTACCGTATATGAATAGCTTAGAACCGTAAATAATAGATCAAATCTAATCACCAAGTAATGTGTGTTAAAAAAAAATACCCGTCTTATCCTCTTCACCCCATTATTCTATAGCCGCGCCTCACCGTGTCTAGCCTAGCCTAGCCTAGCCTAGCCTAGCCTAGCCTAACCTAACCAGGCCACTCCCACCTATCGTCCAAAAACCCACCCGTCCGGTTCCTCACTAGCCCTGCTGACCCTCATCATCAACTGTGAGGGTTCACAGAGAAGGTCACCAGGCTACATGCGCGCAACAGTCCTGTTGAACAGTTAATTAAGATTTCAGAAGAATCACTACAGGTTTGTCCGTGTAAAGACAAGACTGGCGTCGGCTTGCGTGATTGTATATACCTTATTATTTACCGCGAATATATTTATTTTACTCGGGAAATTTATCAGCGATAAATAGGATAGCCTACTCTTAAGAGTTTGCCTGGAGACAGTTCCTATGACACATTGATTGTTCGTTATATACGTGTTTTATACTTAATGATATTACCGTCTAAGTGAAGCGAATTGTTTCCATTAACTTTCAGCATAACTCAGTTCAACACGCGAAAGAAATTAGCCTTGAAAGCGCTAAGCCTCCTTTAAAGGAGGAAGCCTCATGGTTCAATCTCTCGCCACGTTGGCTGGATAATGGGACTTCTCGCTCCGTTTCCAGACTTATAATTCTATGCCAGTGAATATACACGAAAGAAAGCTTTCACTGAGAGCTTGTAATGCTGGAATACTTACGATCTCCGGTCAGCATTGAAGGAGGCATATCTGATTTCTGGAAGATAGGCTTGTGAGCCAGAGCAAAGGGGTTTAAGGGGTGCTGCTACCTGTGGACACACGCTAATGGTCATTTGTCTCTCAGGGTACAGGGTAATTAATTAAGCAGATATGGTGATGCAGCCGTTCCTGTCGACTTGGACATCCATCCCAATCACCCTATTCCTCTTCTGCTCGAGCCTAATCTCACCCTTCGTCTCTCCCATCCCCCCTTTCCATCCCGCCCCCACCCCCTACCTATAACTTCCTCCCTTTCCCTACTTCCTTCTCCTCTTTTCATCCTCCATTCGCCTTACATCCCTTCCCTTCTCTCTCCCCTTAATCTTGAATACGTGCGTTCGTATACTTGTATAAAAAAAAAATTTAATGGGTGTTCGAAAAACGTCAGTACATTTTGCTCTCACTTGGAAGCACTTCATTTACACTGAAACCCAAAACATTTCTTAAAAATCATACAAGGTTATGTCCTACGAAAAACCTGATTGAATCTACAATATATTTGAACTTTATTCCAGTTTTTGTGACCATGATCTTATCATTAGTTCCGCCCATGGTTGCTGGGAGTCGTATCTTGTGTTAATATTCATCGTAGCCTAATTTCATGGGGCCTGAAGCCGTTAAATATATCGTAAATTTCGCCGATACCTTTTTTTCGCAGCTTTTATCGTAGGGAGTCGCAACGTCATGTGATTGTATCGTCGTATAAGTATCGTAGCTTGTGGTATATGCTACTTTGTCTCGATTGTTTACGGGTTATAGACCGGCTTTGATCCACTGAGGAATGGGAGACTTTATCCACTGAGGGATGGGAGGATTGAGAGATGGAAGGAATGGGAGACCGTTTTCATTATTTGGGTAAATTAAGAGAAAAAAAAACATTCATTCGCTAGGATGCCAATAATCCTATCCCAGCGTCCTTATTTTATCTCCTCTCCTTTACCTACGCCTAATTTCTTCCTCTTTCTCTCCGCCTAAAACCAATTTTCGCGATATTAATAATACACTTGTGGATGCGACCGAGTGAGTGAGATGGTGTGGAGCACCTCGTCCCCGAAGTGGAGTCGAAGCGGAGGAAGTGGAGTCCCCGAAGGTCTCTAGCCCCGTGGCTGACCTCCCGGCCGGAAGTTAGGTTGCTTGAGGGGTACCACAGGCTGGCTGCTGGCTCCTACTGCTGAACACAAAGGCGTTTTGAGGAGGGGCGTGGTCTGCCCCCATGCTGCTGCCCGTCTGCTGTCATCTGCTGGAGGGAGGGAATCACCATTGGCTGCTGTCGGTAGCTGGAGAAGGTAGCATGTGTTGATGTTGGTAGTGTGGGGCAGATATCATGTTGATGTTGGTAGTGTGGGGCAGATATCATGTGTTGATGTTGGTAGTGTGGGGCAGATATCATGTGTTGATGTTGGTAGTGTGGGGCAGATATCATATGTTGATGTTGGTAGTGTGGGGCAGATATCATATGTTGATGTTGGTAGTGTGGGGCAGATATCATATGTTGATGTTGGTAGTGTGGGGCAGATATCATGGGTTGTTGTTGGTAGTGTGGGGCAGATATCATGGGTTGTTGTTGGTAGTGTGGGGCAGATATCATATGTTGATGTTGGTAGTGTGGGGCAGATATCATGGGTTGTTGTTGGTAGTGTGGGGCAGATATCATGGGTTGTTGTTGGTAGTGTGGGGCAGATATCATATGTTGATGTTGGTAGTGTGGGGCAGATATCATGGGTTGTTGTTGGTAGTGTGGGGCAGATATCATATGTTGATGTTGGTAGTGTGGGGCAGATATCATGGGTTGTTGTTGGTAGTGTGGGGCAGATATCATATGTTGATGTTGGTAGTGTGGGGCAGATATCATATGTTGATGTTGGTAGTGTGGGGCAGATATCATGGGTTGTTGTTGGTAGTGTTGGTAGTTATCTATGGCAACAGGGTTGCCATAGATAACAATTTGGGCCAGCAAGGGATCCCAGTCATGTGTGTGGTATTAAATGACAGCAGTTGGTTATGATTGGATAGCCAGGAGGATTAGTATTAATCTCCGGCTCTATGTATAGTGCAAGGCTAATCCTCCCCCCCCCTCCTTCCCCATCTCATCCCAAATCCTTATCTAGATCCATTCCAAGTACTATATAGTCGTAATGGTTTGGCTCTTTCTGCTGATAGTTCCCTTCACTAATCATTGATTGACGCCGGGATCACATCTATGGCAAATATGGCAGATCTCTTGCGCTGGGGACCTTGCCTCTATGGCAAGGGGGGGAAAGGAGAACTGGCAACCTTAGAGCCCCCCTCCCCCTCTAAGGTCTCAGGATTTAAATTGGTTTACGATACTCATCTGGATTGGCAAAGAGACATTTGTAAACCATGATGCAAAATTCCCGCCTGATAGTTTACATAGGTACAGGTGAGTACAGGAGGCTGGGAGTCTCCAGTGTACCGTATCGTACCGTGTGGGTGTGTACCGTACACACACACACACACACACACACACACACACACGCACGCACGCACGCGCACACACACACACACACACACACACACACACACACACACACACACACACACACACACACACACACACACGCGCGCGCGCGCGCGCACACACGCACACACACACACACACACACACGCGCGCGCACACGCGCGGGCCTGGTGGATAGCGCGCAGGACTCGTAATTCTGTGGCGCGGGTTCGATTCTCGCACGAGGCAGAAACAAATGGGCAAAGTTTCTTTCACCCTGAATGCCCCTGTTACCTAGCAGTAAATAGGTACCTGGGAGTTAGTCAGCTGTCACGGGCTGCTTCCTAGGGTGTGTGTGTGTGGTGTAGAAAAAAAAGTAGTCGGTAAACAGTTGATTGACAGTTGAGAGGCGGGCCGAAAGAGCAAAGCTCAACCCCCGCAAACACAACTAGGTGAATACACAATCTCAGTGGAAGAGTTGTTAGCGGGGTATATTTCAGTGTGTATAGCAAGGGTACCGGTAGTATAACACGGTACCAGCGCATAGCAACATACCACTCGACATAAAATCATAGTCCTTGACACACGGGTACTGCCGCCCTTTGCCTCATGCATAGCACCTTTGGCCCCCACTTCCTAAAAAAAAAATAATTTATCCACGTTGAAAACGTAAAACATGTTGACCAGACCACACACTAGACGGTGAAGGGACGACGACGTTTCGGTCCGTCCTGGACCATTCGATTCCGAGGACGTCCGTCCGTCGATTCGGTCCGTCTCAATTCGATTGAGAATGGTCCATTCCTAAGTCTCAGACGTAAAACATTTTCAGTTTTATGTGACTTCAGACTTTTGTTTATCACGATGAATGTGGTATTGTTTGTACACGAATAGAATGTGGTTTGTATACACGATTGGAGTGTGTACGACACACACACCAGCTGTTAGTACATAGTTGGATAGTTTGGTGGGTACGTCCTAACCCGCAGAGGACCACTCGGCGAAGGGCAATTTTACGGTCGATCTGTGATGTCCGTTTGATCTTGAAGGACGTTCCGGATGGGACGGTTCAACAGGACCCCGAACCAGCGGTGCATTTTAAACAGGTGTCAGAGAGGTGCGTGCTAGAGAGGAAAGGAGTGAGAGGGGTGGAAGGACCCCCTCTCACTGATTCCCTCTCCCCCTCTCACTCCCTCCCTCCCTCCCACTAAGGGAGTTTTGGAGGTGGGGGGATGGAGAGATTGGGATGGTGGTGGTGTAAAGGGGTTTGTTACTGAAGGTAAAGGGGTGATTAAGCTGATAGAGGGGAAGGGGTGACGCAGTAACAAATGTGAGGAATGTGCACGAGGGCTTTTGTTGGAGGAGGGGGGTGGGGAGGGGGGGTTGTCAGGGGGAGATCTGCTGCTGCTGCTGGTGAGGGCCTTCTGCTGCTGGTGAGGGCCTTCTGCTGCTGGTGAGGGCCTTCTGCTGCTGGTGAGGGCCTTCTGCTGCTGGTGAGGGCCTTCTGCTGCTGGTGAGGGCCTTCTGCTGCTGGTGAGGGCCTTCTGCTGCTGGTGAGGGCCTTCTGCTGCTGGTGAGGGCCTTCTGCTGCTGGTGAGGGCCTTCTGCTGCTGGTGAGGGCCTTCTGCTGCTGGTGAGGACCTTCTGCTGCTGGTGAGGGCCTTCTGCTGCTGGTGAGGGCCCTCTGCTGCTGGTGAGGGCCCTCTGCTGCTGGTGAGGGCCCTCTGCTGCTGGTGAGGGCCCTCTGCTGCTGGTGAGGGCCCTCTGCTGCTGGTGAGGGCCCTCTGCTGCTGGTGAGGGCCCTCTGCTGCTGGTGAGGGCCCTCTGCTGCTGGTGAGGGATCTCTGCTGCTGGTGAGGGCCTTCTGCTGCTGGTGAGGGCCCTCTGCTGCTGGTGAGGGCCCTCTGCTGCTGCTGCTGGGGGACTTTTGGCGGTAAAGTTTGTGGCAGGAACATTGAGTAATGGCAGAGAAAATAGCACACCATTGCTATTAATATACACTACTCCAACAACATCAACCCCCTCCTCCCTCCCTCCCTCCCTCCCTCACACACACACACACACACACACACACACACACACACACACACACACACACACACACACACACACACACACACGCACGCACGCACGCACGCACGCAAGATCTTGCCTCGCACGTAACAAAAAAATACGCAAGGAGCTTCAGTTGGTAACGAGGCTGTTTGGATCTATATGAATCTAATTACGCCCGACTGAAGACAGCACCTCATACCCCCTCCACCCCCACCACATAAAGCTGTCAGCAGATATGCTCCGGGGATATATTGTTGGCTGGTATATCTGACAGGTGGCTTGGGGTATGCGATCACTGGTGATTCCTTACCATAACAAAAAATATAAACCTTGTGTTACCATCTGGAATATAATAGATTTTCTTTAAGTATTAGCGCTCTAGCCTAGTGTATATAAATTAAAAACAAAATCCTAGGGCGATGTAGATTAATAAATTTTCTGAGCTTATAATTTTGAAGGTTGGATTACCCTATTATTCTCCTAAGAGAACATGCGTTGGCGTCGATGTGTATGTTAAGAATGTAATTGATTATATTGGAGGGAGGAGGAGGAGGTGGGGATCATGTGAGCAGCAGCTGGTCGGTATGCAGCTGGTAGTGGGGGGGCTGGTAGTAGGGGGCTAGTAGTGTGGGGAGTGAGGGGGGGGATTGATAAGCAACTTGTGGTGGTTGGGGGAGAGAGAGAGAGAGAGGGAGGGTGTTTGGTAGGCAGCAGGTGGTGGAGGGACGGAGGGCCAGCAGATGGTGGAGGGAGGGCAGCAGATGGTAGAGGGAGTAGTAGGAGGGTAGCAGCTGGCCCTGGGGAGGTAATCAGGTTGGTTGGTTGGTGGTGGAGTGGGTCAGCCACTGCTGGTAACGTGATCATTCACTATCATAACTCTGGGCTCTGTTTACCTCCCCCGATTTGTTTGTGGGTCCTTGTGGGACCTTGTGGGTCCTTGTGGGACCTTGTGGGTCCTTCTGGGACCTTGTGGGTCCTTCTGGGTCCTTGTGGGTCCTTGTGGGTCCTTGTGGGTCCTTGTGGGTCCTTGTGGGTCCTTGTGGGTCCTTGTGGGTCCTTGTGGGTCCTTGTGGGACCTTGTGGGTCCTTGTGGGTCCTTGTGGGACCTTGTGGGTCCTTGTGGGACCTTGTGGGTCCTTGTGGGACCTTGTGGGTCCTTGTGGGACCTTGTGGGTCCTTGTGGGACCTTGTGGGTCCTTGTGGGACCTTGTGGGTCCTTGTGGGTCCTTGTGGGACCTTGTGGGTCCTTGTGGGTCCTTGTGGGACCTTGTGGGACCTTGTGGGTCCTTGTGGGTCCTTGTGGGACCTTGTGGGTCCTTGTGGGTCCTTGTGGGTCCTTGTGGGACCTTGTGGGTCCTTGTGGGACCTTGTGGGTCCTTGTGGGACCTTGTGGGTCCTTGTGGGTCCTTGTGGGACCTTGTGGGACCTTGTGGGACCTTGTGGGTCCTTGTGGGTCCTTGTGGGACCTTGTGGGTCCTTGTGGGTCCTTGTGGGTCCTTGTGGGACCTTGTGGGACCTTGTGGGTCCTTGTGGGTCCTTGTGGGTCCTTGTGGGTCCTTGTGGGTCCTTATGGGACCTTGTGGGTCCTTGTGGGACCTTGTGGGTCCTTGTGGGTCCTTGTGGGTCCTTATGGGACCTTGTGGGTCCTTGTGGGACCTTGTGGGACCTTGTGGGACCTTGTGGGTCCTTGTGGGACCTTGTGGGTCCTTGTGGGTCCTTGTGGGTCCTTGTGGGACCTTGTGGGACCTTGTGGGTCCTTGTGGGACCTTGTGGGTCCTTGTGGGTCCTTGTGGGTCCTTGTGGGACCTTGTGGGACCTTGTGGGTCCTTGTGGGTCCTTGTGGGACCTTGTGGGTCCTTGTTTGCT